CCCAGGTCGTTTTCACTAAGAGGGGGTCCACGAGAGGGAGGTTTGTCCGCCGCCGACTGGCTGGCGGCCGGGCAGGGCAGCGCCCGGAGGAGACCCGGCCAGAGGCGCGGAGCCGGAGCGGGGGGCACGCACTCCACGCGTGTGGCCGCAGCAGGGCGCCGAGGGAGGCCGTCGCCCAGGGCGCCCGCGCCGGGAGTGGAGTCGGGCGTGTCCCTCTGCAGGAGGGCTCTTCAAAAGTACTCCAGATTTCGTAACAAAAGGGAGGGGGTCTTAAACCTCCCAGACGAGAAGTTTTAGACCCCCCCCCTGGGAGAACCCTCCAAAACATCGTCCCCAGACCCCCCCAGGCCCTCCAAGATAGCTTGGAAAAGACCCCCCCCCCCGAAATGAGACACCCCTCCCTTTATTACGAAATCTGGAGTAGCCAGACCAGAATCGTCTGGGGAAGATTGTTCGACTACTTTTGCCTGTGTTTGCTGCGCGAGGAACGATTCCATTGCACTTGGGCGGGTCCATGCTTTTGACGCGCCACCGTGATGCCACAGGGTGTTCGGGAGCAATTGCTCACGACCTAATGCGGCTGCCATCTGCGCGCATGACCACGTGTCAAGTGCTTGCGGTTGGCGGGGGCATTCAATGACACCCCTGCCGGGGCGGTCGCGCGCAGGGCTCGTTCCTTTCCTAGAGCCGCCTGGTGGTGGTATAAATGTTGGGCCCCCGCATCAGCTTCAAGGGGGACATCGCCCCAGTGGCCATCTTGTGGCACGATCAGTTTTTGATCCCCATGTCTTCCCCCCCGTTGGCAGTATTTGTTTGGACGGGTATTTGGCGGTCGATGTCGCCGTGTCCAGAGACGACTGGCGGCTGCGGAGAGAGTCGATGCTTGGCGAGGGCAATACAATTCCTGCGCCGGCTAGGTTTGCCCAAGAAGCCACCGGTTCAAACGGGGCCTTGGGGGCCAAGCTGAGCAGCGGAGCCCTGAGCTCGCAAACCCTGTGGCACAAGCGGACAGTCCGCTTGTGGCTGTGGGGCATTTGCGTGAGAGGCCTCACCGATCTTCCAAGTCGGTCCCCAACCGTAGAAACCGTCTGTTCTGGCCTTTGCTTTGGGGGCGCAGCGATGTCCCGCAGGTGGCTGGGCCGCCTGCGCCGGTCATGTCGCCCGCCCAGCACATAGCGCAAATGCAACCGCATTTCCTACCCACCTTGCTGCGACGAACCCCGCCCGCGCATTGAGCCGCGCCCCGGGCGCGGAGCTTCCTGACGGATGAAGAGATCGGCGTTCGCAAAAGCAGTGGGTCGGAGGATATGTCTCTCCCCAGCTTGGCCGCGAGCCCTACTAATTATGCCGATCTGCATCGCGGCAGGAAGCGGGGGCGCCGCATCCCGAGACCATGCCGAGGAAACGCAAACATGGGTGACTCTAAGCATCCTAGATGGGGTGCGAGTAGATGGGGTCACAGAATCGCGCCGCATCGCCGATGCATCGACGGTGCGGCGCGATGCGGAGCCCGCTTATGTCCGGTCCGATGGCGCCGATGCGTCGCCGATGTCGCCGATGCATCGCTGATGTATCGCCGATGCGGCGCTATCTTCCGACCCCCATCTACACTCAACCGGCATAATAAGGATGGGCAACCTTCCCAAGGGTACCCTTGCATCCTTGCTTCCTCGGTCTGTCCTTGGCCAGTTTCGTTTGCCGCGCCGCTCTCGAGAAGCTTCGAAATGGGCGTCCAAGGCCCTTGCATTCTTATCGCGCATCCTTATGATACGGGCTGGCTGTATGGTCTCCCATGTGTGATGATTTGGGGAAAGGAATTCATGTTCCCTATTGCACTGCGCCGTCTGCAGTACTCGCGACCCGCTTGCGGTGGCTGTTGCGAACCGCCGTCGCCAGTCCAGGGTTTTGCATGCCCTGTCCGGTGCGATTCGCTGTCGTTGGCGATTGGTGTCTTCGGGTGCATGCTTCAACAAGGGGGGAGCGGGGAACAGGTTGAGGAGGGAAGAGAACGAGGACGGGTACCATCGGGAGGAGGATCAGCATCGGGAAGGGGCCCAGGCCTACCATACTTACCGACGAGTAGGACGTCAGCTTTATCGCATGTTATCAAAACCGAGTCGGTCGTTTTTCATGTTGGCCTCAAATGGCTTCCGTGGTCTACGTCTCACAGCTCACGAAATCTGCTCAGTCCTTCCGTTTTGGGTCGCGCCGGGGATTTTGTCATCGTTTTTTTTTTTTTTTTTATTTGCACCTATATAACAAGTGCATGTAGGACCCCATCGGGGAACCAGGAACCCACAAGGAGCGTTGCCCGGTGACCCCTGGGGATTATTGTGTTTCCCCTTAGGCAGACCCCCCGATCCTGGGAACCAGTGCCAGGTCTTGGGGGGAGTGCTAAGGGGTGCACTGGCGCAATGCGCTTAGAGGCAGCCCTCCTTCCCCCGCCAAGCAGCATGTTCGACGAGAGAGAGAGAGGCGAAACAGCATGCGTCGCGTCAGCCCGACCGGCTGGACAGGCGACAGAGGGGGCGCGTGGGACGGGCCCATTCCCGATGGGGAGCGGCCGAGTCAAGCGCTCTGCGTTCGTGGGGTGGCTCCTCGCGAGACGTCTTGGAGGTTGGATCCGCAAGTCCTGGAGCATGCCCCCGCCCTCCCCCCCTTGCAGCGGCTGGCCCCATCTGTGCCAGGACGCGGCCACGGTGCTCATGTCGGTCGACCCCGACGCACTCGTCCGCCGCGCGACGGAGCACCGGGTGCCCACGGTGCGGCCGCTCGTGTTGCAGGCGCGGCGCAGTCCCCGGGTTGTGGCTGGGCAGGGGAGCGGGGAAACGTTTTTAGGGGCAACGCCAAGGGGTGATCAGCTGACTTGGCATCGCTCGGACGTGTGCGTTTTTTTTCCTCGGCGAGGACCATCGAGGAGCAGCCTTGATCACTTGGCGAAAAAACCACGCACGAAACCGGAAAAAGCACAGGGAATGGACGTCCGAGCGATGGCCAGGTTGTGGCTGGGCAGCGGATCGGGGAAACACGTTCACAGGGGCAGCGCCAGGGGGTGGTCAGCGGAGGGTTGGGACGCATCGCCCGCCAATCGCCCACTCATCGCCGATGGAGGCCTGATTGCCAGCCTCGAACGTATCCCTATCCCTAAGACTGATACGCCAAAAGGCGATGACAATCTTAGGGATTCGCCCTCAAAAAATAAGGGAATCCCTAAGATTGGCATCGTGATGGGGAGGTGCCCAGCATAGGGATAGGGATATGTTCCAGGCTGGTAACCTGATAGCCCACTCCGCCCGGGAGCGTGCGGATTTTGCAATCGGGGGCATATCGGCGATGCGAATCGCCGATTCCAGCTCGATGTTTCCCCGTTCTTCCCCCTGAGGCAGTTCCCCCCTAGCGTTGCCCTTGCGCGTGGGGTGGGACCTGGCGGGGTACTTCGGAATGCACCAGACGCCTCTCAGAAAGGACATGAGGCTCCCCAGAAGAGGTCGGAGGCTTCAGAGAGCTGGGGGATTCCCGGAATGGATCGGAGGCTCCCCAGAATCGGGGGCGGCAAAGAGGGGGGTGATGACTAGGGGGGGGGATACCATGGCGGGGGCCATGATATTTCCCCAGATTTCATGGCGCCTCTTCTTATGTCATTACGTCCCTGGCCCCCCCGCTGGGCCGCGCACATGCCGCCGGTCATGATTTGCACCCCCCCCTTCTTGGCCGCTCCCGACAGAAGGCTTCTCGAAGGGCGGGAGGCGGGAGGAATTCCAAGGAGCCCCCGTGCCTCCCCAGGAGGCCACCCTCTCGCCCCTGGGTGCCCTCTTTCCAGGGGAGGGTGGAGGGTGGGGGGAGGGAGTAGAGGGAAGTCGGGGCAGAAGGATTTGCGAAGATCGGCGCCTGCAGCTGGCTTCGACTCGGCCGCCGCGCAGCGTCCTCCATGCACTGCTGCCTCAGGCGCGGGCAGGCGCCGGCAGCTTTTTGTCAGTTGCCCCTTCCGGCTTAATGCCGCTTAATCCCGCTGAATCCCGCTTAATCCCGCTTAATCCTGCTCAGCCCGAGGCCCACTGCGGCGTGACAGCTCCCACATGGGGCTTGATCCTCCTCAAGATTTTCCGACGAAGACCTCCCAGTAGTTGCCTCCTATCAGGGGGATGGAAGGAACGTCCGATCGGTCGAACGATCCCCGCGGTGTCCCGGGACCAGCGCCGAAGCCGGCACGGCACGAGCCTGCCGCACCAGACCGATCCCTTTCAAAATGTTCCGACGACAACCTCCCAGCAGGTGCTTCCTAAGGGGCATGGAAGGGATGGCCGATCGGTCCAACGATCCCCGCGGTGGCCCGGGCCTAGCGCCGACGCCGGCACGGCACGAGCCTGCCGCTCGGGCGGGCCAGAGCCGTCCTCGTCGTCCTCGTCGTCGTCGTCCTCGTCCTCGTCGTCGTCGTCCTCGCCCTCGTCCTCGCCCTCGTCCTCGCCCTCGTCCTCGTCCTCCTCCTCGTCCTCCTCGCCTGCCTCGTCGTCCTCCTCGTCGTCCTCGTCGTCGTCGTCCTCGTCCTCGCCCTCGTCCTCCTCGTCGTCCTCCTCGTCCTCCTCCTCGTCGTCCTCGTCGGCCTCGTCGTCCTCCTCGTCGTCCTCGTTGGCCTCGTGGTCGTCGTCCTCTTTCTCAGATAGCTCTGGGTGTGCAGCGTGCCTCGACCCCCTCGACCGCCTCGGCCGCCCCGGGTCGCCGGCCTGGCGCGGGCCGAGCTCACGACGGCCGCCTCCCGCTGGTGCCTCTGGGCCTCCAGAGGCCCGCCGGTGCTGGGTGCCCCGGAGGAGGAGGAGGGGGAGGAGGAGGAGGAGGAGGAGGAGGAGGAGGAGGGGAGGAGGAGGAGGAGGAGGCGGAGGAGGAGGAGGAGGAGGAGGAGGAGGAGGAGGAGGAGGAGGAGGAGGAGAAGGGGAAGGAGAGCGAGGAGGAGAAAGACAAGGAGGACGACAGAGAGAATGATGATGATGAGGAGGAGGAGGAGGAGGATCCAGGGGATCTGTTTCCGGGGCAATGGATTTCTGTCGACAGAAAGCCATTGCGTCCGAAGAAAGCCAACGGCATGCGTAGATTTTCGCAGGCCGGCTCGGGACCGGGACCTGCGCCGGGACCTCCCTGGCGGCGCCTCCGGCGCCGCCGCTAGCGCGCTCCGCGCGCCAGGGAAGGGGGTGCAGCGCGGATCCGAGAGATCCGCGCGGACCGGCGACAGTTTACCTTCATGCCGTTCCGTGCTCCTCTAACAGTATGGATGGGCATCTTGCCCCCAGGGCCGGCGTCTCTCGTTGAGACCCTTCTCTCAGCTGCAGGGTGCTGTGTTCCTCTGAGTATGGATAGACACCTTGCCCTCGGGGCCGGCGTCTCTTTTGGAGCCCCTCGTGTCAGCGGGAGAGTTTTGCGAGTCCCGGGGCGCAGGCGCAGGGCGTAAGTTGCGCGTCGCCCCCACAGTCACCCCTTCATCGCCGATGCCGGCGCGACGGCCCCAGCCTGCCCAGGGCCATGCGGATTCACCATCGGGGGCCCATCGCCCGATTCCAGGTCCATGTCCCCCCCTCCTCGAGCCAGTCCCCCAAGTCGGCGGCCAGCGAGGGGAGGAGCTGAGCGGGAGAAGGCCTTCTCGGAAGGCGGCGGGACTTCTCGGAAGCCCCTCGGCTTTCTGAGGAGCTTTCCGTGTCCTCGGGGAGGGCTTGGAAAGCTATATTCAGAAGGCCCCCGGGGGATTGCCGAGCCTTCCAAGGAGGCCTGCTCCTTCTCGCATTCCCCCGGGCTCGCCGCCGAGTGTCCTTTGACTGCGAAGCGGAGCGCCTCTTCCAGAGAGCACCCCCGGGGAGCCCGCCCGAGCAGCTCGCTCCCCCCGAGGCGCTGGGCGAGCTGGCGGTGCGGGCCTGGCCGTTCGCCGCCGCAGGCGCCCCGCCCGGCCCGCCGTCTGCGTTGCGTGCAGTGCGGTTCCCGAGCGTTTGGCCGCGGTCCCCGCTGCCGCCCCAGAGGTCCAACGCATCGAAAAAAGTCAAGACGGGAGGCCTTTCACAGTTTTCGGCCTCGAGGGGCCCTCGCCGGGCCTCGGGATGGTCAGAAAACGACTCGGGATGACAAACCGGTCCTGCGGAACGGGTCGAAACTTCGGGGCTCCCCCGCATGGAAACAGTCACGACGTCGGATCTCTGGGGCTGCTGGCCGCGCCGGCGCGCTCGGCTTGGAATTCTCCCGCGGCCGAGTGCCCTCCGCCGCCTCCTGTCCTCCGCGGCCGCCCCGCCCCGCCTTTCTCCCCCGCTTGCACGCCGGCCGGTTCGCGCACCCGCCGCCCCGAGCGCCCGCTCGCTGGAGCAGCACGTCGGCCTCGCCGCCGGGAGAGAGGTGTTTGCGGTTCCCGCGGTCCTCTTGTGTGTGCAGGCTTCCCATCTGAGGCCCGGGCGGATGGGACTCGGCGGACCCCGAGACCCCTTCGGGACATGACAGAAACTACCCTATGGTCCTTTTGGCTCCTCTTTAGGGATCAACGACAACGGCTCCCTATTAGGGGGCCAGTGGCTCCCTATTAGGGAGCCAGATTTCAGAGATGCGCCTTGGAACAGAAACAAACATATTCGTTCGAATATGATGATGACAACGAGGCCAGGTAACTATATAGAAGTGTTTATGATGAGCTGGTGATGATGCTTGCACAACAAATGAAACGTTCAACCCCAGTCCTGAGGTGCTGTGCTGCACATCTCCTATTGCTTGTCGTCAGTGCTGTGCCGTGCCGTGTCCATTTGTACATGTATATGCATCGTCGGTGCCGCGTTGTGCTGTGCCGTGTCCGTCGATAAGGTGCATGTGCCGCGGTGCCGTGTCATTATGCATGGTGTCGCACGGTGCCGCGCGGTGCCGTGCCACTCGTGTCGGACGTGCTGCTCGTGGGCCATTGGCGCCGCGAGGTTCCGTCCGCAGCTGTGTTGGCTCAAACGTATATGTCAGTGCAGTGGACTGGGGCAGTCCCTCCTTCCCCCTTCCGAACTACACCGTTGGGCCGCGCTTTCACCAAGGCGGGTATGTCGGGCACGGCGTGTACGGTCCACGATACGCCGATGAGCCCTGGGGCGAGCAGCAGCGACGTCGAGCTCGTGAGCGTCTGTCGTCCTGACGGAGGGCGGCGCTTGAGCAATACCCAGGCGCAAGCGGAGCTCGCAAGCCGCGACAACCTGAACGGCATCGAGCAGGTGCTGACGGAGCCCCAGCTCGCGGAGGCTGGCCTGAAGGACCAGAGGCCGATGATGAAGCTTGAGCCTGCGGACATGAGTGAATTCCCCGCGGAGCAGCCCCCGCAGGAGCCCGTTGATGGCGGGAGCGAGGAGGGGGATGAGCTGAGCCCACTTGATGGCGGGAGCGAGGCGGTGGACGAGCCAGGAGCGGGGCAGCCCCGCACGGCGTTTACGCGTCGCCTGCAGCCTGCCGATGTTGAGATGGTCGGCGACGCCTGTTCAGGGGTGGGCTTGGAGGAGGTCCTGG